CGTAAGTCATGCCTCTTAGTTCTGGGACTAGTCTAGTGGCATACCTCTGAACTTTTTCCAGTTTCGTCTTGTGCTTGACAAGGTACGGACTCCATGCTGGGGCCGCACACTCCAGGATTGGTCTTACATATGTGGTGTACAAGATTCTGAATGATTCCTCACACAGGTTCCTGAAGGCAGTTCTGATGTTAGCCAGTCTCGCATATGCCGCAGACGTTATTCTTTTGATGTGGGCTTCAGGAGACAGGTTTGGTGTGATATCAACTCCTAGATCTCTCTCTCTGTCCGTTTCATGAAGTACTTCATCTCCTATTCTGTATCCTGTGTCTGACCTGTTTCCACCGCCTAGTTTCATTACTTTGCATTTACTCGGGTTAAACTTTAGTAGCCATTTGTTGGACCATTCATTCAATCTGTTTTCTTTGAACTGAATACCAATCTGCAAGAAGCGAGACTATCGCTCAACCGTTCAAGTGGAAGAGTAGAATCTCTCAAATCTTTCCAGCTTATGAGTAAGAGTGCATGAATCGTGTGTGTTAGTAGTACATATGTGTGTGTGTGTGTGTGTGTGTGTGTGTGTGTGTGTGTGTGTGTGTGTGTGTGTGTGTGTGTGTGTGTTCATAACCTATTTATGTTCTTGCCTACGGGGAAGTGTGGGCTAGCTCTTTATTCCCCACCTAATAGCCTTGTTGTACCTGTTGTAATTGTGTTGCTGCTGCTGTGTGCGTGTACATGCCTGTGGTTTAGTTCCTCTTGTCTGCTTCTCTCTTTATATTTTGACTTTTCTAACTTTCTGGTGGCTCATTTTTCTAGTGAATTGTTATGTATCATAGAAAGTGGCCAGCACAGGCTTCTGGTGCTCCTCTTTGTATCAAAGGTGCGATTGTCATATGTCGGAAAGTAGCATACACCTTGAAGAATGTGTGTGAACACTGAACAACGGCCAAGAACATACCGGGGAGCTGTATACCCGAGGTGCATTGCCACCTGAATGTGTATCTACATCCATCTGTATACCCGAGGTGCATTGGCATCTGAATGTGTATCTACATCCATCTGTATACCCGAGGTGCATTGGCACCTGAATGTGTATCTACATCCATCTGTATACCCGAGGTGCATTGCCACCTGAATGTGTATCTACATCCATCTGTATACCCGAGGTGCATTGGCATCTGAATGTGTATCTACATCCATCTGTATACCCGAGGTGCATTGCCACCTGAATGTGTATCTACATCCATCTGTATACCCGAGGTGCATTGGCACCTGAATGTGTATCTACATACACCAGTACACCCGAGGTGCATTGGCACCTGAATGCCCCTCTGCCTCTACTACACATACTGCTATGAAGTACACATATAGCAGTATGTGTAGTGGATGTTGATGTAGAAGGTGAAGTCCCGTGGGTAATGTGTCAGTGACTGATCACAGAAATAGCCCCCTAAACTGCTAGTGGCAGTTGTGTCAGGTTATATCATAGGGTAACTAATCACCGTTTCCTTGGGTGTTGCTTGATGTCAGGAAGGAGATTCAAGAGAAACACAACAGGACACTGCTGCTGCTTTAATCATAATTCCAAACTAATGCTTGCGTTCTCTACATGGAATTTGATGGAAACGCGATGTGAAACGGACATGGTCTGGCATTTCCACATGCCTCAGTCAATGGAACTGCCGTATGAAGCTAAGTCCAATCTGACCGGATCCCCTCACACAGCGTTGAATGCTTTTCCTCGACGAGAGGTTTGGCACCTATCAAGAACCATTCAGACTCCTCGCTCAATGCATCTCGTACTCGAGCCTCCATCTCTCCCTCGCCCTGGCTGACGCAATATGTCACATTTCCTCGCACTCAATTATATCTTCAATGTCCAGGACTGAATGTGTTCAGTAGGGCCGTTGTGAAGGAGGGCCGAGCACGTGCGAGCTCTGACATACTCAGCGTCCTATTAGCTTCCTTGGCCACGTGGGGCTATTTCAGAACAAGGCGGATTTGCAAGTTAACATTTTTGAATGTATGCATTTCCCTGCAGGTTTGGGGGGGGGGGAAGTCCTGTCTCACACACTCTGACATGAATTGGATTGGATATGGCAATGCATTTGATGGTGGTAGAATGGAGGATGGAACACCACCAAGCAACACTTTATGGTCCACTGAGGTCAAACAAAACCAATTAAAGATTAATTAAAATACTTGTGAGGATCGGTGAAGACCCGGAGAAAGTAGAGCGAGCACATTTGGGTAAATAGAGGGAGAAAGTAATATGACAAATGCGAGAAACTATCTAATACGAATGCTAGAAATACACAAGATCGCTCGTGAAGATAATAGCTGAGAATGGAACTATTGAAAATACTGGTTCACAGCGGAGGAGCGTGATGGTACACTAAGACATTCAGAGTAGACTCTCCTAGACGCGTTGGTCTCCCTTAACACTGGAAAGTCCATCATCTTGAGGTTATCTTGAGATGATTTCGGGGCTTTTTAGTGTCCCCGCGGCCCGGTCCTCGACCAGGCCTCCACCCCCCAAGAAGCAGCCCGTGACAGCTGACTAACACCCAGGTACCTATTTTACTGCTAGGTAACAGGGGCATAGGGTGAAAGAAACTCTGTCCATTGTTTCTCGCCGGCGCCTGGGATCGAACCCAGGACCACAGGATCACAAGTCCAGCGTGCTGTCCACTCGGCCGACCGGCTCCCTCATATCATATCTCCCTCATCATACAGGGACCTTTATTTTAGTAAAGCATGACAGAGAGAGAGACTCCCAGGTCGGGAACACCGTAATTATCCCCAATTATAAACAAACTTGGAAGGTGATTCATAACACTGTGACTGCCTCCCTCCCTGCTTCAGTGGCTATCCTGAGGGTATCTTGAGATGATTTCGGGGCTTAGCGTCCCCGCGGCCCGGTCCTTGACCAGACCTCCTTTTTGCTACACCCCCCCCCATCCTCCCCAGGAACCAGCCCATAACAGCTGTAACTCCCAGGAACCTATTTACTGCTAGGTGAACAGACGCATCAGGGTGAAAGAAACTCTGCCTATTTGTTTCCGCCTCCACCGGGGATCGAACCCTGAACCTTAGGATGACGAATCCCAAGCGCTGTTCATTCAGCTGTCAGGCCTCCAGTCAGTGCACTCAGCACTGGCACTCTCTTGTGCCATCTGTGTGGTGGCGTTTACCTCCTACGGTTTCCCAACGTCAAGAAACTGTCGTACCAAAGTGCCCTTATCCTAGCCTACCAGAGGACCCAAAACAGAAAACGGGACAGGGTGTCAATTTCTCGAGCCGCAGCCATTTTCTAGCACGACGATTTTTGGCCTTAAGGGGAGTATACGTCAAAATGTGACGTTTTAGGAGGACGGGTTGTTGACGTTTCGCGAATGAGGCGACATAGTGCTTTGATGAAGTCGAATCGAACTTTTCCTTTCTAAACTGTAGCTGCTTTACCCTGAAGTAAGAATCCATTTCTCTGTCATATTACTAGTACTGTGTAGTCTATGGAAATTGTAAACAATTTAATCACTGTAGCCTATTTAACCCCCATTACCGTGTAAGCTTCTATACAGACTCGTGCTTCTTTAGTCATGTCGCAGCAGAGACGACTTCCAGTCTTACCGAGTCGGAGTTCAATCCCCGATAGTCACAGTTGTTTGTATCGTTCTTTCACTCTATTCCTCCCACCTGGGATCAGTGACCCACGAGGACGACAGTTCCTCCCACCTGGGCTCGGTGACCCACGAGGACGACAGTTCCTCCCACCTGGGCTCAGTGACCCACGAGGACGACAGTTTCTCCCACCTGGGCTCAGTAACCCACGAGGACGACAGTTCCTCCCACCTGAGCTCAGTGACCCACGAGGACGACAGTTCCTCCCACCTGGGCTCAGTGACCCACGAGGACGACAGTTCCTCCCACCTGGGCTCAGTAACCCACGACGACGACAGTTCCTCCCACCTGAGCTCAGTGACCCATGTGGACGACAGTTCCTCCCACCTGGGCTCGACGGGTCGACGACACCCCCACGGAGCTCATCTTTCAATGCGACAGGAGTCCTAATGGACCCCGCTCTCGAGAAGCGTGAGAAATTCCTTTTCTTCCTTACCTCTTCCCTCTGTGCCTTTTCTTCCTTGCCTCTTCTCCTTTCCACGACAGTTATTTCCTGATAACGCCGCTTCTGCCCGGTATTATGACAAACTGATATGGTCAGATACTCCTCCTAATAAATGATCTTTCCTGGAATTTCTCGTTGCTATTTACTCTTAAAACGTCTAGATATTTTTCATTAACAGTATTTTTCCAATTTGTTTTATTTTTTCCATTCCAATAGACTATTTTTTTTGTTTCGTTTTACTTTCATGATTTTTTTTTTTTTTTTTTGGCAAGGATATTCCTGCGCGAGCCTTAAGCCTCTGGCTGGCCCACTAAGTGTTGCTTGTTTCTGTTTTATTTTGAGTATTATGAGTATTTGTTATGAGTATTTATTATGAGTATTTATTACGAGTATTTTATTATGAGTATTTATGACAATGAACTTCGTTGATCTCGTGTTAGCCAAATTATTTCGAATTTTTTTCCAGAGTTTCCTATATTCCTTAGCAATTTGATTGTCTGGGTTCTTTTTAACTGTGTTTCTTGCAATTTTGATGTTCTGATTGAATATATTTTCACAAATCACGGTTTTCTAAGTCTTGGAATTTTTCTGGGGGGGGGGGTACTTCATTCTCATATGTTATTTTACTTTTTTTCTGCTATACATCTGTGTACTTTTGTCAATATTTTCCTGGTTATTTTGTATATTGTCCTGGTTATTTCTCACATTGAATAGTTGATTTTTATCCTTATTACTACGTGGGTTTCCTAGTTACCTAATAGGTCACCTTAGGTTATATTGTGCATATGGCTTTAAAAATTATGTTATTGGATCGTAATTTAATACATGGCATTTTCCGACACACCTGATTCTATATTCTTTATTTGTTTTTCAACAGGTGATAGTGTCGATGACAGCAGATGACCTTAAGGCCTTCTTGTGTCCGACAGATTGGTGGGACCATGCCTTCACTGCTAGTAAGTGTTGTATGAATGGTGGGACCACGCCTTCACTGCTAGTAAGTGTTGTAAGAATGGTGGGACCGTGCCTTCACTGCTAGTAAGTGTTGTATGAATGGTGGGACCATGCCTTCACTGCTAGTAAGTGTTGTATGAATGGTGGGACCATGCCTTCACTGCTAGTAAGTGTTGTATGAATGGTGGGACCGTGCCTTCACTGCTAGTAAGTGTTGTATGAATAGTGGGACCGTGCCTTCACTGCTAGTAAGTGTTGTATGAATGGTGGGACCATGCCTTCACTGCTAGTAAGTGTTGTATGAATGGTGGGACCATACCTTCACTGCTAGTAAGTGTTGTATGAATGGTGGGACCATGCCTTCACTGCTAGTAAGTGTTGTATGAATAGTGGGACCGTGCCTTCACTGCTAGTAAGTGTTGTATGAATGGTGGGACCATGCCTTCACTGCTAGTAAGTGTTGTATGAATGGTGGGACCATGCCTTCACTGCTAGTAAGTGTTGTATGAATAGTGGGACCGTGCCTTCACTGCTAGTAAGTGTTGTGTGAATGATGGAACCATGCCTTCACTGCTAGTAAGTGTTGTGTGAATAGTAGGACCATGCCTTCACTGCTAGTAAGTGGTGTGTGAATGGTGGGACCGTGCCTTCACTGCTAGTTAGTGGTGTATGAATGGTGGGACCATACCTTCACTGCTAGTAAGTGTTGTATGAATGATGGAACCACGCCTTCACTGCTAGTAAGTGTTGTATGAATGGTGGGACCATACCTTCAGTGCTAGTAAGTGTTGTATGAATGGTGGAACCACGCCTTCACTGCTAGTAAGTGTTGTATGAATGGTGGGACCATACCTTCAGTGCTAGTGTTGTATGAATGGTGGGACCATACCTTCAGTGCTAGTAAGTGTTGTATGAATGGTGGGACCATGCCTTTAGTGCTAGTAAGTGGTGTATGAATGGTGGGACCATACCTTCAGTGTTTTCAGACCAGCTCCCTAGTTTGTTCAGGTACTCCTGGATCATTCAGAGATCCTTCTGTATTCTAAATCCTTCAATCAGTGTTGCATCATCCACAAATACTGGCACGATAGATCATACTTCCTCAATGAGGCCCATGACGTCAACAACAGTATGGGTTCGGTCATTGACGCCTGTGGCGTTTTTGTGTTATTTTCACACAATCTGATGTCTTGACTCACATATAACTTTTCAATAGTGACGGATTACTATTACTCACTTCCTATTGTTCACGTTCGTATATGAACCTCATATGTGGAACAGGGTTTCAGAGCCTTCTTTAGGGTTCACTAAGATGCAGTCAGCTCATCCTATTAGTTTGCATGTTTCATTTTCACATAAAACTTGAGAAGGTTTTTTAGACAAGATTTAACTTTAGTGAATCCATATTTCCACGTGAATATAAGCCTCCTGAATATAAGATGTTGGTTACTTTACAGGGTGTACTTGCCAGTGGTTCAGTACAGTCTTCAAACTCTCAGGTAGTTCTCCCATTCATCAGTCAAGCAATAGAGATTATCCTAAGAGGTTTTCTCAGAGCCTCAACAACATATTTTCATATCCACGAGGTGGTTTCCTTCTTATGGTCGTTGATATATCTAAGTATTCTAGCTGCTGCGATAGCTTCATGTTATTTATTAATATATATTAGTCTCATTTAAAGACGTCCTTTACCTGGGTGAGGTTCTAGAGTACAGGTTCTAGCTGGAATATTTCCTGTAAGCTCATGTATCGTGCCCTGTATTCCACCGTGACAGTTTCCATAACCTTTGTTTAGTCCGATTACTTGATCGTTCACACATCTTCTATATTACACAGCTATATTAGTCTCGTATGGTGTGTCTGGTTCTCTTCTGAAATGTATTACTTTTTTGTTCATTTGAAGGCGTTCCGGTATTCATAAGCCTTATTAAAGTCTTCCATGACCACCTGCTCATCTTTCTTGCCATAAGATAAATGTTGTGCACTGCTGCATTATACATTATTGTTCTTATAAATCAGTTTTCACTATCTGAACATTTCCGTTATTCAAAGTTCATCGTGTTCCAAGCAGTCACGTTCCAAAGTTCAGTACCCGCTATGCACCTTCAATGGGAGTCCCTTATCTTTTCATACTCCTCTTTCTGGTGTTCAGGGTTTCTACTTTTCTCTCCCAACTGTTATTTACATCAATTTAGCTGTAGAAGACTACAACTACATACGCGCACACAGCGGTCAATAATTCCTAAAGAAATTTCGTGTTATTTTCTTTCGTTGTCTCGTCCAGGATGAAGACCAAGTCTTTTTTCCTGCGAAGGTTTGTAATCTCTTCTGTTTTCCCCGTACTCTGAACAGCTATTGCTGTCCCTTATGTGATGTTTATTACAACTCTGTTGTTCTCTTCATATGCCTGTCCGGACGTTTTGGTACTCACCATAAGGTTGTACATTACTATTAACGCTACTTTTACTCCTCCTGTTGCTGGGGTTATTGTGGCATAGCCCTGTGACTTCTTCAGATTTTCTTTCAGACTTAACCAGCCGGGCCACATCTCTGCTCCTCCCGGGGGGGGGGGGGGGGAGGGAAGGAGAAAGCGCCAAGCCATCACAGACAGAGACGTCACAACTATACAGCCCTTGGAAGGGATCAGGATAGGGATCTGGGATGGCTCCTTCGAGGAAACACTGCATTTGTAATTAGCTCTGTAATTTACCTCCGTGCAACTGCTATGCCATCGGGATCTGTCTTATAGGGCCTTACTGCTCATTATCAGTTTCTCAGTTTGATGAGTTCCTTGTTGAACTCCCTGGTAGATTGGCGAGTGAAGTGAGGGGGGAGGGTGAGCAGGAATGAGGCCAAGAGGTCCAGATAGAATGAGGACAATATCTTGAGGTTATCTTGAGATGATTTCGGGGCTTTTTTAGTGTCCCCGCGGCCCGGTCCTCGACCAGGCCTCCACCCCCAGGAAGCAGCCCGTGACAGCTGACTAACACCCAGGTACCTATTTTACTGCTAGGTAACAGGGGCATAGGGTGAAAGAAACTCTGCCCATTGTTTCTCGCCGGCGCCTGGGATCGAACCCAGGACCACAGGATCACAAATCCCGCGTGCTGTCCGCTCGGCCGACCGGCAGAAGAGAAAAGGAGAAAGAAGGAGCAGGGAAAGGAGATTGAAGGGAAAATGGGGGGGAAAATGGGAAAAACTTTAAGAGAAAGGATGGAGAGTGAACGTGGAGAAGCGCCCAGGAGAAGAGATGGAGTGGAGGCTGATGTAGAAGAAAGGGAGGGATAGGGAGAGGTGTTTACAGAGGGAGGAGATGGCTCAGGCGTAGACATCAAGAAGACACATCAAGAGAGCCGGTGAGGGAGGAACATATAAGGGAGGCAGTAGAAGGTGGTAGGGAGACGTACAGCAGCAGCAGGAGGAGGAAGAGGAGAGCGAGAGTGGTGAGGACCTAGAGGGGACGTCTAGTGCCTATTGCAGCCACCACTCCTCCGTCATGTTCTTGAAACTCCGCCTTTCCGGTCTAGAGTTCTCCAGGGCAATGACTACCTTGCTCTACCATAACTAATTTTTTTTCCGAATCATGAATGGAGTTCACTTCTGCCACGTGAGTGGCGCCTCACGGCTGGGTGGACAGCGCTTCGGATTCGTAGTCCTGAGGTTCCGGGTTCGATCCACGGTGGAGGCGGAAAAAACAATGGGCAAAATGTTTCTTTTACCCTGATGCCCCTGTTACCTAGTAGTAAATAGGTACCGGAGAGTTGGTCAGCTCCTACGGGCTGCTTCCTAGGGGATGTGTAACAAAAAGGAGGCCTGGTCGAGGACCGGGCCGCGGGGACGCTAAGCCCCGAAATCATAAGATAACCTCAAGATAACCTGCTTATTTAATTAATCTCAGATTTATACTATTATGCTACAAGAACCTTTCTAACATCTGTATGTTGTGCATACAGATGCATACTTATCTGTTTCTCAAGCTTCTATAGGTATCCATTGTGAGCATATCTTTTTTTCAACTATCAATCCCTCTAAATATTTTGAATGTCTCTCATTTCTCTTTTTTTCTAAACTCTTGTTTTTTTCCTAGTGACGATTGATCGAACTCTTTCAATCTTCATATCTAATCTCTTACCATTGACCCTCGCAACAACTCTCTGTAACTGTCCACGTTTCTTGTGTGTTTTATGAGATTTGGGGCACCACGAAAGGGCCCTGAATGTGGTCTCACGTAGGCACTGTGGAGTGATATGAATACGCCCCGTATTCAGGCTCCTGAATGATGTTCTAACTTTTGCTAGTGTAGAGTATACTGCTGATGTTAAAATATAAATATGTGCCTCTGGAGTTATTATATCCATTCTCAGATCTTTTTCTCTAGTCGTTACAGACAGGTAGTTTCCCTTCACTCTCAACCATCCTTCTTGTTCCTTGTCACCTGTTCCAATATCCGTCACATAATACTTGCCGGTGTTTAAATCAAGTAGCCATTTAGCAGACCAACTCTGCAGTTTGTCAAAGTCATCTTGGAACATCTTACGCCAGACTGACTTCTCATCCCTCACTGACTGACTCCTGTCTGTTTGATACCCCTTATCCATGTTAGTGCTCCTTAACTTACTCCTGCACATCTCCCACGTTTGGTGGCAGTCCAGAAACTTATACAGAACTCCTGTAGGTTCGTTAGGCATGATTTAATTTCTCTAAAGCCGTGTTGGTGTTTGTTTACATAACAAAACCTCTCTAGGTTGGAAACTAGTCTTATCCTTATTATGCTTTCCAGGTCTTTGCAGGGGATGCTTGTCACTGATGCTGGTCTGTAGTTAAGTGTCTTCTTGTATATCTGTACCACATTCAACATCTTCAGGCAGCTGGGAAAATCTCCCTTCGCAATTGAATCATTAAAGATCGCAGGCCTCTGTATCTTTCGGATGACAACGAGTCTGCACTTGACATATTTTCAGTTGATAATTCTAGGCATCAAATTATTTAACTATTAATACAACGGCATATCATAGACATTGGTTCATTTTCTTTGTCATCAAAGTAATATTTCCCTGTACTCTCCCTGACTTAGAATATGACTCACTCGATCATTTGATGTTGGTATTCATTATATCGGGAATCGCAGCTAATGTGTGTTAAATAGCAAACACGCCTGGTACCAATGATACATGAAATTTAACCATAATATATTGATCTGATTTATTAATAGGTGGAAAGTGACCCCCATTTATATAGCCTGGTACACTCCAGCAAAAATGGGTGTTGCCAGATTGATCTCGGAATGTAATTAACGACGAGTCAAACTTTTATGTTAATTCAGTGCCACAATTAAGTCGGATTTAGTTTGCAAGTCGCGCGTAGTTGCGTTTACGAACCGAAATTGCGTGCTGTAGGATTATTTGCGTTATCGATTTGGCACAGCAATTTTATGAGAAACTGCGTTAAACCGAAACCTGCTAATCTCTTCATATTCCTGTCCGGATTTTTGGTATTCATCCTAAGGTTGTTTATTACTGTTAACGCTACTTTCCCTCCACCTGTTGCTGGGATTTCTGTGGCATAGCCCAGGGCTACTTCAAATTTATTAGTAGATGGAAAGTGCCTCCACTTATATAGCATGGTACATCAGCAAAAATAGCTGCTACCAGTTGCCTTTAATTATTTATTTTTTATTATTATTTTTCCCTCAGTTCCTTTTAATTATTTAGTTCGCCGTCAGTTGGTACCATGAGTTTACTCGTTATTGCTAACAGGTAATAACGAAGGCAGGAGATGGTTGATGCTAATAGGTTGTATGTAAGCACTAACAAGTTAATATAACAAGGTATTTTGTTTTATATTCTCCAGTTAATTTTGCGAGTCATTTGCTCTTCTTTAATGCAGACGATGAGTCACAATAACGTGTTTGAAGATGTGGTGACCGAACCTCACATCAGAAAGTGAAAGATACGACGACGTTTCGGTCCGTCCTGGTCCATTATCAAGTCGTACGTGTCTAAAGCAAATTCTTTGCTTTGGATGCAGTGTCATTTACCTAGTTTTTTACACACCTATGCAAACGTATCTGTTCCTAACTCTGTTGTAACTATTCCGTTTCTATTGTCTTTTGTATTTATTTGTCCACTTCTGCTTTTCTATTTAGCTTCTTGTCATTGCATACTGCGCCATGAGTTACTGTATTCCCTGAAATGTCTCCACCCTGATTGTTGGTACGTCTCTCTCCTCAGGCTCTTTACATCTGTGTTTGACTTGATTCATCATTTCTGAACTATCTTCCCATAAGTCTTTCCTTCCATTGTACTCTCTCCTGGCTCAGCACCTTGCTATTCACCTGTGTGTGTTAATATGATCGCACCTCAGATTCTCCGCTCTGGCTCGCTCCACCAAATCTACTCCCCATCCAAGATACCCAACTCCTGCATCAACCAATTCCTCTAACAAACTTTACCTTAACGCCTAGTCAGAGACCGGGCCACAGGGACCTTGAATCCCCGTAAGGTAACGTTGCTTTCCCTCATACAATAGCTCCTTCCTACCCGTCCCCACTTATCACCCCCACTGTGGAAAAAATGCCGGGATTTATGAGGAGATACTTAGGACTTGTACTGCACCAAATTAAAAATTACCGTTTGTAAAAATAATACAACTAAAAGTTCTTAGCTAGGGTTGTAAATCCTCCTACTCTTGTCCTAATGACAATGGGCTGTAGGAGGCAGGTGGGACTTTATGGGTGAAAGGAGTTGTTGACTGAAGATCTACATCCACCTGCAGACACTTCAATACATCAGCTTGTATTTTTATACAAGGATTAGATTAAATAACTCATTTCTGTGACTTAACACTGGTTCAGCTCTAGATCATGGGTCGGAACAATATACACAGTCTAGCCGTGCTCTATTATTATTACTACAGCCAATAATCTCCCTATTAATAAACACAATAATTAGTATTATACTAGTATGATATATATACAATTATGCAATCAAAGGACCATAATACCAGTACTTGTGTCCAAGGACTGGTATCTAGGAATAAGAAATTATATTCAATATGATAAATTAATGATAACTAAGTTAGCAATTGTTAATTTAATGTATACGATCAATTATATATACAGATATTCAAATTTATATGAAAAGATTCAAGCATTGAGTAAATTCAAGCATGAGGGTAAATATTCAAGTAAAAGGTTGAATCAAAACTTACTGAAATTTAGGGCTTTGCCCCACAGTATAACGATTAACAATTTATATGGACATATTAAGGTTATGTTATGATGCATGCAAATTGGCCAATCAAAATGCTACAAATAATACTCAATACTCATCCAAAAATTGAGAACCGGTGCCTGTCTGTATTGCCAGACTGTATGATCTCTCATGACGAGATAGCCACTTTATTTTGATATTACAGCTTTGCTGTTTAATATGTTCTTAGTAGCTTTGCTTTAGGATAAGATTAAGATAATATGGTGGTGAGGCAGCATCACTTCATGTGCCACTCTACACTTATTTAGGTAAAAGTACTAGGAATTTTCTCAATATATATAGTCCAGGAACTTCCCCGGTATCTAGAGAGTTATGACTGGTGATATAAGATTAGTTTGTGCTGTGTAAATCCTATAATAAAGGGCTGACACCAACATGTGCTTCCACTGTTAATAAAAAAATGTTCTGGCCTCGGGCGGTGATGGGCGCTCGTCTCCTAGCCATCATCCACCATGCTCTCTAAGCAACCCGTCCTCTTATAATATCACTATGCGCTATGGCCAAAAGTGGCCACTATATCGTATGCGCTATGGCCAAAAGTGGACGTAATTTGAAATGAAATCGACTGGCAAAAGTGACGTACTGTCCCGTTTTCTGTTTGAGTCGTCCGGCCTACACGGAAAGGTTAGGAGAGGAAACTTTCATTTAAATTTTTTTTAATAAAAATTTGAAACTGTATGAGAATTTCCTGCCCACCTAACCTTCCAGAGGACCCTTAACTTACTGTTGCCGAAAAAAAATCCCATATTTATTTTCATTTTTTTTTTTTTTTCATTTTCAAATTACATCCACTTTCGGCCATACTGGCAAACGGCCAAAAGCGACGTTATTTTTAAGAGGACAGGTTGGAGTGCGAGGAAGCCACCAATCTATATGTATTGATTATTCTCATTGCCTAGACAGATTATTGAGATCAAATGTGATTATAATATAATTAGATATAGGATTTAATAATTATAAGTAGTACTTGATAGTATGATCGATTCTTATTAAGGATTTGATTTAATCCTCACCGGAAATCGATTGATGTTCTAATTGTTTTTTAATTAAGTTCTTCTCGAACCTTCTAGATCTATGAGAAATCATGCACAAAGTCACAAAGGCACATATTGGCTAACTGGCGTACATGATCATAGTAGCATTGTCATGTAGGATCTAGTTGATGTAGGATACAATGAATCTGATATGATTCTGATATGATTTAGAAATAATACATTTCTTAAATAATAATATTGATATAATGGGTTGAAACTTCCCACACCCACCCCTCCATACTCCATTCCAATCACCCTCCCCCCCCCCCTCCATCTCATTCAGGAGCCTATTTCATCTTCTCACATAAAACGTCATATTTTACGATGAAATCCACCAATCCGTTAAAAATGCATTGTATTAACATTAAAACACCATAATATTGACGTTTACCATGTATCAGCTTCGATAGGTTCAGTGAGATGCCTGATAACTACCCGATAACAAGTCTTATGGACTAGTTCCAGTGGAGAGATTCCTGACAGGCCATTAGCAGCAAGACACTACTATTAACTACTAGTTAACGAGTTTCATCTTTGTTTCAGTGGAGATATTGTTCCTGGTGTGGGGGATCCGTCTGTGTATCATGGTGAGGAAGGCCCCGTCAGAGTTCAACGAGTCCAAGTACATCTCGCTAGCTATCTACAACGAGTTCATCCTCTCACTCTTCCTTAACGTCTCCATGTAAGTGTTGTCCTCCTCTACGAAGCCTGTTTATTTATATACTGTTTTATCATCTCCCAATTTATGTTTTTCCCTGAATTTCTCTATCTGCTTCCCAGACCCAACTACTTGGGCTGGACGGTAGAGTGACGGTCTCACTTTATACAGGTCGGCGTTCAATCCCCGACCGTCCAAGTGGTTGGGCACCATTCCTTCCCCCCCTCCCCCTCCCGTCCCATCCCAAAGCCTTATCTTGACCGCTTTTCAAGTGCTATATAGTCGTAATGGCTTGGCGCTTTTCCCCCTGATAATTCCCCTCCGTCCCAGGCTTGGTTTCAACCGGTTCTTTTGAATTCAGCAGCAGGTGAGCTGTACTTTCCCATGGTTGATAGACTAGCTAACATCCTCTCGAGGAGTTCCAGCCCTGCTCCTGTGCCAGATAAGTCCATTACGGGCTCACCATAGCCTGTGCTACCTGGAACTTTTTGTTCCCAGTACCTGAATCTATAACAACAAAAACCCTCTGGAGTCCCTTGGTAGCACAGTGGGACTTGCCCCGCGCTGCACTGGCCTAGGTTCGTCGTCTTGCTGGTGAGGATTAACTAGGCACTAATCCCTAACTGTACGCCTCGTTTTCACCCAGCAGCGAGTGGGTACCTGGATTGTCAAACGATAGGCGGGTCATATTCCGCAGTAACTAGTGTGTAACTAGCTGATTACCATGATCTATGGGAAGGAAAATGTTCCTGTGCCCACCAGTGTAAAAGGGGGAACTCAATCGTGTTTTGCGAGTCAGGGACCATGATTTGGATTTAACTATCACTGTGCGTGAATAGTTTGATCATGCTATCCTCTCTACGTCAGGATCTAGCCTGTCTTTACCTGATTGGATTAGGATATAGCTCTCTCCCTACTTCACTGTATAATGACATTGTTTTCCTCCCTATGTGATGAATTAGGAACTAGCCGCATCTATACGAGTATGGATTAGGACCTAGCAGTCTTCCTACGGGGCTTTATTAGGGGCTACCATCTCCTAACATCACGTTACTGGGATTTAGCTGTCGCCCCCTGCGTGTGATGCTGTCTCCCTGTGTGTGTGATGCTGTCTCCCTGTGTGTGATGCTGTCTCCCTGTGTGTGATGGACTAGTATCTAGCAATCTACTCTGTGACTGGGATATGACTTAGCTGATTCGCTTTGTGACTTGATTCGAGTCTGCCCTTCTCTCAACATTGTTTTTGTCCTGAGTGACAGAACTTGGCCCTTAGCATCTCCCTACGTGACAAGATTGGATCTAGTCATCTCCCTACGTCACTGGATAGGATCTAGTCATCTCCCTACGTCATAGGATAGGATCTAGGCATCTCCTCATACACCTACACACAGTAGTGTATAGTGTGACGGTGGTGTCTGTGCGTGAGGCTGTAGAGTGCAGTGAGAGGAAGTATAGTGAGTGAATATTCTTTTGGTACCTTCAATCTTGTTTTCCTATTTATTATTGTACTTCATCAAGGTTGTCACATCAGTATTCATGGAACTTGGAACAGGGATGGCGATGCTTGTGCTCTGATGATCAATTTCATGATTAAACTATTTATTCGAGATACAATTAAGTCAAAGACGTTTAAATTGTAATACATTTATAATTGGGAAAGTTTACATTAAAATTCAGTACAATAGCAACAAGTCACAATAACTACTATAATGTCAACGTGCTATGTTATCGAATTTTAAAACTTGGTTTTAAATAAGTTGCTGTCTTATGACAGCATCACAAATAAGTTGTTAACAACTTGTGCAAATCATTACAATGCTCGTCAGACTAAACAGGTGTACAGCAGATGTCTAAACTGGTCTAAATATAGAATTAGATTTTTGACAGTGAATTAGACTCGACATTTAGAATTAGCGACATTTAACTAAGAATTAGAAAGATGATATATGGGAAAGACACAATATATCATAAAATTTGGACAAGACTATTAGCAATAGAACTAATATAAACTAATCATACCATGACGTAGTATATATTTGCACACACTCAACATTCTACGTCAGCAGGTTCTGGGGTTATCCTTGTTTAAAATCACATCAAATGTACATCTCTTATAACATGGCTCCGACTTCAGTTGGACTCTAAATACCTGCCGGTAATCCAATCGCTTCGTGATATTAGTTCCTTAATCATTCTAAATATCCAGCTGGGGGTCTCCCTGCGATCTGTCCTCTTACAAAGAACGTCGCCTTTAGGTCGTATGCGTTACACAAGGCCAAAAAAATTCTTACTAGAAAATGGAAAGGGGTCACGAAAGTGACGTACTGTTCCGATTTCTGTTTTGGGTCCTCTGGCTTAGTCTGTTAGGTTAGGACACTTTAAATTAACTTTTTTTTTTTTTTTTTTTTTTTTACATTTTGAAACATTACGAGGACGGTTTGGTCGCCGCTGACCAGCCGTGTTACCCTGTGTTCTTGACCCGCTACCCCCATTATAAATATAATCCATTGTCAAATTGTATTTCCTATGAGTTAAGTTCATATTTCTGGAAAAGTGGCCAGTGGTAAGTGAGTGCCTGAAGAAAAAAAGTTGCTGTTGTTTACTGGATGGGCGATTTCTTTCAGACAAAATTATATCATTTGTTTGTGAATTATTGCCGTAAGTGTGTGTGTGGACATTAGTTCAGGTAGGAGAATACAATTAGTGGTTTATTGGTTCGGTTTGGAATCACATTAGCAATTAGCTCTTTGAATGTCAATTATTAGATTAATCCATATCATTTACGCTCATCACCAGTTAGTGAAATAACATAATTATGCAGTTAATGAGTAAATGGCTGATATTTTTAATGCATACATTTATGTACACATAGAACATTTTCAGATACATTTGTTTTAAATGTGTATTCATAGAAGCAATAAAATTGTAATATAAAAAATCCTTTCCCTTCCTTTCCCCATATATTACCCACCAACCTCTAACTCCTGTCCCACATACTACCACCATTCTCTCTCTCTCATCCATCCTTTACCCACATCCCTTCCTCTTACGAAATGTATCTTGTTTCAATTCTCGAACCTTTCCTATCAATCGCTCGTTTCCCCTCATATCCTCTATTTTCCCTTTTTCTCCTCCCTCTCACCCTCCCCTTCTATCTCTCTCCCATTCCCTCCCGCTCCCGTCCCATTCCTTATCTCCCCTCAACTTTCCCACAGGCTCTTCCTCCAGTCACCAGCCAATCCGGATCTTCTGTTCATCATTTTCTTCTGTCACACGCAGCTCACCATCACCCTTCTCATCGTCATCATTTTCGGCAGCAAGGTGAGTTGGGAGGGAAGAGATGGTGAGGGGAGGGAAGAGATGGTGAGGGAGGGAAGAGATGGTGAGGGAGGGAAGAGATGGTGAGGGAGGGAAGAGATGGTGAGGGAGGGAAGAGATGGTGAGGGAGGGAGGGGATAGTGATGGGGGGAGAAGATAGATGGCGAGAGGATGATGGAAGAGCTGGCAAGATGGGAGTGGTGATATAGTTGTAATGGTTACATTTAAACCACTTGTAACAACTGCAACTGCATGCAACAGAGGGTTACTGATGTGTCATTTTGCAGAGAATCAGTGCTGGTAATTATTCGCATGAGGAAACAACGACCGAGATTTGCAATACGTCGGGTGGGCAAGAGTAAGCCAGAGGACAGTAAACGTCCCCAACGATGATACCGTAACCTCCCGAGACAAGGTCGTCGTCGTCCTAGTTGTTACTTAAATTGTTGAATAAATTGTTTCTTATTGAGGTGCATCAATGTAAGAGTATCAATACAAATGCAGTTCTGGAGACTGTACTCCAAAATGTATGCTGCATTTGACATACCAGGAATACATTGATTAGACGTCTTACACTTCATTTGCAAGGAGGAGGTATTAAGCAACATCTCTCTCAACACCACAACACCATCCTGAATCGCCAGGACATTGTGAAGGGCACCACGATAGTCACATGCATCGACGATTGAAGGAGGCTCCGTACTCTTGAGACCTTTTCACTTGGGAGCTAACACCAGTAATCAACATTCAGATGAATTCGACCATACAGCTGTTCGATGGTCCTTCATATACCTAGCGGGAAGATAGCATACCCAGTGGACAACTAGAAGCTGGTGTCAGGGCATCAAACACTTCTCCCTATCCTTCGGAGTTCCCTGAGATTAAGGAGGGTAGGAAAATCGTAGGGGTGAGATGAAGGACACACACTTATAGATGCCTATATTTCTGCATATAAGCTCCCCACCAAGAACACCCTCCCCCGCTATATACAACCCCACCAAGTAAAATAGGAACGATACCATGAGATCCAGCAGTGCTTCAAGTGCTACGAGCTCACCCATCCCCCCAACAAGTGCCAGCACCCTGTCCACAGTGCAGCCTGTACACACTTGACCATCACTACTCCATATGTAAGCCAACAGCCCATCGCTGCTTGCTCTGTGATGGCAATCATCCCGCAATTTCCTACCGATTCCCCCGCAGACAGGAAAGCATCAAGGCCCAGTTTGAAGCCAAGAGAAACAACCCTTCTACCTCCGCGACTAGAGCCCCAGGTTCTCAACCCATCACCTCGGTTCCCACCAACCGATCAGAAGATTTTCCGGTCTTGCCGAAAATTGGCTCCTCCCACCAGGCGACCCAGCCTTCACAATGGGGAGTCAAGGTCCCACAGGCTAATGCCTGCATCACGTGCAGGCATTATTCCTGGTCTTATTAGACTAGCGGGAACGCTTGCCGGACCAGACAACCACCGTTTTATCAGTGAACTGAGCATATTATACCTAGCCAATAGCCTGGCCCCCATCATAGCCCCTGGCGCAAGTCTCACTGCCTCCACTACCACTCCGGAGACTACCACCAGGACGACCACGAGGTCGATCTCAACACAGACTCCAGAACCACCCATGACCCGGGCGGCACAGAGGTATTTCCCTCTCTAGCTCCCAACACTCCTTCCATCACCATCTCGGCAGCGGCGCTAGCAGACGTGCTGTCAACAAATGCTAACATCACCACCACCACTCTTGAAATACCGTCTACCACCAATCCACGAGACCCGAGTCTACCACAGGCTGGAAGGCGAAAGACGAAGACCACCACCTACGGATGTTACGGACTCCTCAAACGAGGAAATCTTAGTAGGAGCTCCCCCGCTGCACCACAAACACGACACCTACTCGGTACAAGTAGGAGGAGGCCACTTCACCAAACTCCAACGACAGCACGGGTCAGCCAAAGTCTCAGACAAAGAAAAAACGGAAGACCTAGACGTCTACAACTCCACCAGCTCCATAACTGGTACAGCCAACCTTCCAGGACTGAAGACTCACATCCATCCCCAGATTTACATCAGCCATTGATACAGATAATGGTTCCAAAGAGCCTCCACTTACGGGCTCACCATAGCCCGTGCTACTTGGAACCTTTTGTTCCGAGGACCTGAATCCAAAACAACATGTAAGCTAAGTACAGCTGTCTCCTTTGTGCACAGAGTGTATCCCTGAAGATGTCACACGGCTGACGAAACATCTAACAATAAAATAGAAAGATTAAGTGATTTAGTATTTCTTCACCTTCTAGAAGGTGAGCCGGCGGCTGAGCGGGCAGAACACTGGGCGCGTAATCCTGTGGTCCCGGGTTCGATCCCAGGCGCCGGCGAGAAACAATGGGCAGAGTTTCTTTCACCCTGATGCCTCTGTTACCTAACAGTAAATAGGTACCTGGGAGTTAGTCAGCTGTCACGGGCTGCTTCCTGGGGGTGGAGGCCTGGTCGAGGACCGGGCCGCGGGGACACTAAGCCCCGAAATCATCTCAAGATAACCTCAAGGAAGGTAGAAAACATTTACGTAGAATGAAAAATATTTATAAGAAAATTAACAGTCAAAATGCCATTGCCAGTGTTTAATGACATGTGTATTAGAGAAAACCTGCTACCAAAATATACTAATTTATATATATATATATATATATATATATATATATATATATATATATATATATATATATATATATATATATATATATATATATATATATGGCATACCACGAAAGTTTTGTTAAACAACACCTTTGCAGTACTAAGCTTAGTTAAACAGCACACTATCAAAGGCAAAGCTTTGTTGAAGGCCACACTTTCAGCGGTATGGCTTTGTTAAATCGAACACTCCAAGTTGTAAAGTTCTGGAGAAACGTCCAACCACATGGGCAAGATGGTAGAGCGACGGTCTCGCTTCATGCAGATCGGTGTTCATACCCGACCGTCCGAGTAGTTAGACACTATTCCTTTCCCCCCGTCCCATCCAAAATCCTTATCCTCTCCTAGTGCTATATTGTCGTAATGGCTTGGTGCTTTCCCCTCCCTCCCTCTAGAAATTAAAAATATTAGTCGATTTCCAGCTAATTTTTTAGCTCAGCATTACTTGCCCGTGTTAGTTCCCATTTGGAATATGTATATTTATCTTGGCTAGTGTAATGTTGCACGAACATCAGTTTCTTCGAAATTGTTTAATGATACAAATAATTAGGAACATTGCAAACGAAGAGAGATTTACACAAATTTGCATTCTCAAGAAAGATGAAGATTAAGGGAGGTATACGATTGAAGTATACAGATGGATGGAAGGGATATAACATAAGGGGATATTATACTTGTGGCAAGTATTAGTAGTAGTATTTGCATATAGATTCGAGCTGTCTCGCATATAGGTTAATATAGGCCTCCCCAATGTTTTCCACCCAATTCTGATTCTTCTGATTATAAATCTCTAGAGATACTATTCAAACTCCACAGTATCCATTCAGTCACCTCCCATCACATTCATTCACCACGTTCCATCCTTCCTTCACATTCAGCGGTGAATGAAAATACCCCCGCTGTACCACAGTGACACTCGCTCCGCCGCTAACCCAAGCTCGATCCCTCTCTGTCCCTCTCCCCAGGTCTACATGGTTGTGAAGGGTCAGGGCAAGGGGGCGGAGGAGACCCTCAGCATGACCAAGCCCAAGGCGGCCAAGTTCATGCAGCGAGGACAACAAGTCAACAGCAACAACCACGGCACCCTCGACCAAGGTGACCTTCAGGTGAGAAATAGGGAAGTAACTGGTGGGTGGCGAGGTACTGGCGGGGGGAAAGTAGGTGCTGTTGGATGCAAGGGGAGGGGGAGGATGATGAAGCCAGGGTACTTTAAGGTGGATGTCGAGGAACCAACGGTGGATGACTAGGAACTGAGGTTGGATGGTTTAGAACAGAGTGGCTAGAAACTGGGCATGGATGGCTAGCTAGGAACCGAAGGTGGAAGGCTAGCTAGGAACCGAAGGTGGATGGCTAGCTAGGAACCGAAGGTGGATGGCTAGCTAGGAACCGAAGGTGGATGGCTAGCTAGGAACCGAAGGTGGATGGCTAGCTAGGAACCGAGGGTGGATGGCTAGCTAGGAACCGAGGGTGGATGGCTAGCTAGGAACCGAGGGTGGATGGCTAGCTAGGAACCGAGGGTGGATGGCTAGCTAGGAACCGAGGGTGGATGGCTAGCTAGGAACCGAGGGTGGATGGCTAGCTAGGAACCGAGGGTGGATGGCTAGCTAGGAACCGAGGGTGGATGGCTAGCTAGGAACCGAGGGTGGATGGCTAGCTAGGAACCGAGGGTGGATGGCTAGCTAGGAACCGAGGGTGGATGGCTAGCTAGGAACCGAGGGTGGATGGCTAGCTAGGAACGGAGGGTGGATGGCTAGCTAGGAACCGAGGGTGGATGGCTAGCTAGGAACCGAGGGTGGATGGCTAGCTAGGAACCGAGGGTGGATGGCTAGTTAGGAACCGAGGGTGGATGGCTAGTTAGGAACTGAGGGTGGATGGCTAGGAACAGGAGACCACTTAAAAAAATTATTATGTTTTGAATATAACTGGGAGCCGGTCGGCCGAGCGGACAGCACGCTGGACTTGTGATCCTGTGGTCCCGGGTTCGATCCCGGGCGCCGGCGAGAAACAATGGGCAGAGTTTCTTTCACCCTATGCCCCTGTTACCTAGCAGTAAAATAGGTACCTGAGTGTTAGTCAGCTGTCACGGGCTGCTTCCTGGGGGTGGAGGCCTGGTCGAGGACCGGACCGCGGGGACACTAAAAAGCCCCGAAATCATCTCAAGATAACCTCAAGAAGATAACCAGGTCTTGGGTTAAGTGGTACAGCCTGTTAGAGTATTCACCACAATGAAAAGGAAATATTATTGCAGTCACAGAAACATGGGAAAAATAATGACTACCAGGAATTAACTATAAAATATCAAAAACATTTAAATAAATTGCTTCTGAGTAAACGGAATCCTAATAACAAGAGTTATATAGAGGTGACCCAACCAGAATTGAATAAAACGAAGCCACATTTGGATCGCTATATTACAAGGACAGGGACCTTCACATCTACAATGTAGAGAACATTTGTATTAAAATCCTAAAATATTCTTCAATATGTACCAAACAGAGGTTAAAACGTGAGCAGGGTCATTGAAAACAGGTAGATTGGTTATTGATAGCATTCATACAATTGATGTCAACTGGAAATCTTCTGGTTACCAATGGTGGTGGTCAAGTTTCTGTAAATTTTGTCAGAAATTTAGTTCCTAGCTAGCCATCCACCCTCAGTTCCAACCTAGCCATCCACCTTCAGTTCCTAGCTAGCCTTCCACCTTCAGCTCCTAGCTAGCCTAGGTCTCCGTCCTCTTTTTGTGAGTCGTTCAAAGTAAAGTCAGGTTAATTTGAGGACTAAAAATATCATACGTTTCTGACATGTACACTCATTGCCACCTTTTCCCCTCTCAGGAACAATTCCAGCGGCTGTACACGCAACTGGAGTCGTTAAGAGAGAGGAACCTACGTCTGGGGAACAGACAAATGGTGGCCAAGCTGACAGCCATGCAGGAGGCGGCGGCCAGCACCACACCCATCACCGCTACCAAAGTAACCGCAGCCGTGGTTACAGAGAGGAACGGCAGCAGCGCCGAGCAGCAGCAACAGTACCAGCAGCAGCAGCAACAGTACCAGCAGCAGCAGCTGGGGCGTCGCAGCCAGAGAGAGAGAAATTACAATGATGGCATCGTCATGAAGCCTTACGTAAACAGCATCCTGGCCAATGATAAGCTGGCGTGCGCCGACTATCAAGCAGAAGCAGAAGTGGCACTTAGTACGCTGGGGACTCTAGCCAAGACCCCAGCGAAAGACCCGGTCAAAAATGTTAACTTATTAAGAAAGAGTATATCTAAAGAAGAAATTCTTGATAAAGGAGGAGGTAGGAGAGGAAAGATATTTAATCATCTTAAAAAGAGTACCTCTAAAGATGAAAACATTAATAGTGTATTACGCAACAGAGGGAAAGACCTAAATGTGCTTAGAAAAATAGACAATATAGAAGCAACAGTTAAAAAAAATAGAAGAAGAAGCGAATCGCACCTTCTCAAGACTGGCTGTAAAGACTTGGTAGAATACATCCGCTGTCCGGACGCGGCAGCCATCATTCCTGATGACTGCAGTCACAGGACAGTCACATCGAGCGCCAGTGTCGACGCTGAACTTGCGCGTCGGTATACCTCACCGGAGGACTTCTGCGGCAGCCTCACCAGCAGTAACCCTTCCGACGATGCTACTAGAAGCCCTTCCAGCGCCAAGGACCTCAAGCCCTTCGGTCACAGAAGCGCCGAATTCCTGCTGAGGTCCAGTATCTCGACGGAGCTTTGTGAGCGCGTCTGCCGAAGCCTGGAATACCTGGATGAGAGCGGCACTCGCTACGGGGCGCCCATAGGAGGATCAGGGGGCTGCGGAGGACCCGAAGAGGACCTGAGCCTCGAGGATAGGTCCGTTAGGTCCGCACACTCCACCCCGCGCAGGTCACAAGGGCGCCGCTTCAGGGAGGTCCACGACCCCGACCGAGCGCGGGCCTTCATCCTATATAATCTATCAGACCGTGCCACGCTAACGGACGAAGTGACAGTATAGCCCAGCGTTGGTGACTGGTGCGGCTAACTAGTTATGAGCTAAATATTAGTGTAGAGAAACTGATGCACCAGTAACTGGACAGTATTATTAAATTCTATCTGTATTAAACTGTAAAGTGTTGTGAATTACCAAAGAGGCGTACCGACTGTTTCACAGTGACCCAATCGACAAGAATACTACAATATTACAACAGAAAGTTGGTAAAATATTACAAAAAATATATATTATATATATATATATATTTATATATATATATATATATATATATATATATATTTTATATATACATTATATATATATATATATATATATATACATATATACATATATACATATATATATATATTGTATAAAAATCACAAAAGTATGCTCTTTATAAGCTACTTTTCTGTAACAAATGAGACGAGCAAATATATAAAACTTAATTTTGTTTAACTGTGTATATTTCATTTAGCTGTACACAAAATGACATTACAGCACAGGTAATTTACCTAACCTTGGGACAATACCTGTGCTTGGAGTGTAGTCGAACACCCGCTCGCACCGCGGGTGTTCGACTGCACTCCACGAGAGAGCGCGAGAAGTTTTACAAAGACAAAAAATTATCCTCGTAGCCCTTAACGCTGCAGACGCAATAACTGCCAGGGTCGGCTGTCAACCAACAGCAACCACACTCTGCAACTGGCAAAGCGTGGTATGGCAGGCCCACTGGACACGATATTCATGGCTAACGTTAAATCAACGTTGAATTAATGTGGAATTAATCTTACGCTTGGATACTGTGCTCACTGGCGAGTGACGTCAACAGTAGGGCGAAGATCACCGTTATCAGAGAACGATTGGGCAAGTCTGTATGAAGTGTCACACACGTACGTGCACGCACGCACGCGCGTGCGCACACCACACACACACACACATTCACGTACACACGCAATTCACACACAACACCTAACGACAAGTTAACGAAATTGAAGTTGGAAGCGTTTAAATTAAGTCGCTGAGTGACTTAAGCTCAGGTCGAAGACATTGAGCAGCATTAAAACCCAAATAACATGAAGATTACGTCTAGGATGCAAATTCAGTTTTAACTGGGAAAAAAGTTCCATAATTTCATTAAAACACGTAAAATAATTATTTTTAATAATTACTAAATGTTGATAAAGATAAAATCGGTGTATAATGTTTTCCTTAAGACACTTGTTTGCTAGAAAACTTAAAAATGAGATACATTAGTGGAATTCAAAACCTATATATAGAAGTCAAAATTTTAAATGAACATTTGAGCACTGTATATGTAAAGGAACTTTGATGCGATTATTGGATGGCAATTGTGGTATCTTGTGTTTCAATCTGGCATCATAATATAAAGTCATAAGACTTTACGCGAGTCTTATGGAATAAGTGTCACAAGAGAGCTTCGTAGAGAGCTCTAGATTCTCCCTCAAGTTACTGCAATACTGTGTGTGTGTGTGTGTGTGTGTGTGTGTGTGTGTGTGTGTGTGTGTGTGTGTCTAAGTTTCATGTTCAACCTCTGGAGGGTAATGTTGACCTCCACAACAACCAACTGACCAAACAGGAGGCACAATTTAACACCTAAACATAGTCCAGGACCGAAGTCAATTGTGTGTATATATATATATATACACCGAGAAGCAAATATATCTCTTGCTGTATGTCACGATGACAGGTGATGTCCCCGGCACTGACGGCCCCAAGGAAGGTTGTCTCTATACCGCCTTGCCAAGACCTGTCAAGCCCGCGCTGACAATAGTCAAGAGGTCCCGGTCAATGTCTCGTACCAAATCAATCTTGACCTTCACACAGTGTAGTGGTCAACAACCACAACAAAGTGTATATGACGCAACACGGCCTTGTGTGACGCAACACAGGTGCTGACATACAACAACAGATGAAAATGACAGACGTGTACTCGTTGCTGGAAATTGACAATATTTATGACGTTATGTAAAAAAATTACTTCCATGAGACGATTGAGAGAGACGACTGGTAATACTGTCGAGGGGTGAATGAGTTGTGGTGGTGTTGTACTCTACAAGATGTTCACGGGTGTTGGTTGATGTGATTTGTCAGCTTATTTCACTGAGCCCCAAATAGGCTGTCAAGACGACTCACCAACGCTGGTCTCATGTTATCACCTGGTGGGTGAAGATATCCAGACATCTTGCCCTTATGATGCCTCTTAATATATCTATTACATTTCCCTCTATGCGTTTTAATTATTTTTCGAGTTAAGATGCCTCTTCAACTTATTTCATTTTGTGTAGCTCTGCTAGTAGGCTATTTTTACATTGAAAGTTCTTGCTTAAGAACATTTATTTAGGATATTTATTTTGGCATAGAATTTATCATGTACTCATTATTGAGGACAATAACTAGGACTGAAGTAAAATTGACCCAAATTAGTCCCCAACATGTGATTATTTACTCCAAATCATACGGTCGCATGTTGCTATGTTACTACGTCCCATGCTGTCTATCCCTATCCTGCTTTCTCTACCCCACCATTATTTCTAACTTTGCCCCTACTTTTTCTTCCTTCGTTTTATTTTATTATGAACCTCTTCCTATCCAATATCAGTGGGGCTATGCCCTTCTTCCTCTCTCCCTCCATGAAGATAAAACAAAAATGCCTTCATGAGCAGCTTCGGTCCATTACAATGTATTACTCGTTGTCCAAAGAGAATCTATTCCAATATTCTTGTGTTCGCCCCGGTGATATGACTGTTTTGTGATAACCACTCTCTAATAAAGATTATTTTATGGGTAACTCTGTTTTATTGGTATCCCAAGACCCTACATTCGCAAGATGAGAAACAGCCTTTCGGAGAATTTGTTATAAAACTAATTGCCACTAGATAAACAATCCCCCCCCCCCTGAAGTATTTATGTTCCTACTGTCTCTTCACCTTAATGAATTATTTATAAAAAATAGGACTACATGAATGAGAAGTTTTCTACTTTACCTCACTGTTGTTACATCAAATTGATTGTGAAATAGGCACTTAACCCATTAGCAAATATAAAATACATTTGTACTGAACGTTGAGTGAAGTCATACGAGGTCTCGGTAAGGAGAATGGCTGGTGAGCTGGAATATGAGGACAGACTTGGAACTGGGAAATGAGAACACATTACGAGCTGGGATATAAGGACTAGAAGCTGGGATATGAAGAGAAACAAGAAGTTGTGATATGAGGATAGACTACGAACATGGATATTGAGGATAGAATGCGAAATGGGATGTAAGGATACACTACTAGCTAGGATAGACTATGAACTCGGATATGGGAATAGATTGCGAGTAGGGATACAAGAACAGGCTACGAGCTGAGATATGTGGCCACTACAAGCTGGAATATAAGGACAGACTATAGCTGAAATATGAAGACAGACTACGAGGAACGATAAAACAATGTCCAACTTCTTTCACCAATTGTAATCGAACTCTGACCCGCAAGAGTCCATTGCTGCTTGCAGGTCGAAGCCATAAAAAGATAATCTCCAAAATTCGAAGATAACGTGGTGCCAAACGATCATAATTTCATAAATAACCACATTAAGAGGGTTATACTGCCGGATAAGTCAAGAGACTCACATTGGTCTGCAAAGTAAGTAATTATCAAAAGACGGCACCATCCTAGGAAGGCTATCTAGCACCATCAAATGCTTTCTCTATGGTGCTAAATATCACTAAAGGATGCCAATACGATAACAAAATCGCATAAGGCGATCATCATCAAAGGTATCCGATTCACCAAGGATTCTATCGACGGACAGGTGACCTTGAGGGACAGTATGGAAGCAAGACGCACACACATCCAGGAAGTCAGGACATTCAACATGAATGTCCACGACCGTAAGAGGAACAATGCAGTTTGGACAATTAGCAGCAGGGCGGCGCTCCATTAAATGCCCGAGAGTTAAACGTGTATTGCCAATACGTAACCTCGCTAGAGCCTTTCCCCCACTGCCAGTTACGGTGGTAGGAGGAAGGCCACGGGGACATTACTCTTAAGAGCACGCAGTTTGTTACCAGTAACAGAAGACCAATGACCCTGCAAACGGGCACGGATTGAGGAATGAATTACTGGGTTGAAGTCGAAGTAAGGAACACCTTTGCAGGAAATGGGACAGGTGCGGATAGTCTCCTTCCGGGCAGCATCCGCACGCTCATTTAAGTTAACACCAATAACACGCTGGGAATCCAGGTGAACCAGACTGTCTGGTTCCAGGAGAAACAGCCAATATTGAATTTCGACGACCCTAGGATGGACAGGATTAAAGAACTCCATGACCAGAGGGCACTGCGAGAGTCAACTACAATAACAAAGGAAGAATTATGGCGAGAAAGCAGTTGAATAGCATACAAAATTGCATCAAACTATCGTGAAGATGCTAGTCTCCAGAGGTAGGCGACACATATAGGTGCAGTCAGAAAATATAACAGGGTAGCCGACACTGCCATCAGATTTAAACCTATCTGTGAAGACCGAGATGGCGTTTCAGAACTGTAGGAGGGGTAAAAGCTTTAGGCATACGGGGCAAGATTCTACAAAACTTGGAAAGAGGAATCCCTCCATGGAGGGCAAGAATGGAACAACACAAGGAGAAACATTGGAAACACGAACTGAAAATGAAACCTTGCGAGCGAGACAACCATACAGAAAGAGAAAGGTGGTGAAAGAACAGGGCCTACAGGACGGGTAATGTTCAAATTACAACATTTGAGTGAGGGTGAGTGAGTGAGCAGGAGTGAGGGTGTTGTAAGGACCGCACAAAGTAGCGAAGACAGTAGTGATCCTGTAGAGACAGGATGCCGGTTTCAACATACAGGCTGTGGGTAGGAGTCGAACGAAAGGCACCAGAGTTGAGGTGTACCCTAGTACGGTGAAGGGAGCCGGTCGGCCGAACGGACAGCATGCTGGACTTGTAATCCTGTGGTCCTGGGTTCGATCCCAGGCGCCGACGAGAAACAATGGGCAGAGTTTCTTTCACCCTATGCCCCTGTTACCTAGCAGTAAAATAGGTACCTAGGTGTTAGTCAGCTGTCACGGGCTGCTTCCTGGGGGTGGAGGCCTGGTCGAGAACCGGGCCGCGGGGACACTAAAAAGCCTCGAAATCATCTCAAGATAATCTCAAAGATCATCAAGACGAATAAGAGCTGAGGGAGAGGCAGACGAATAAGAGCTGAGGGAGAGGCAGACAAATAAGCAGGACAG